CCTCCTCCTCCTCCTCCTCCTTTCTACAAACAGCACTTCCTTCTAGTACTGATGGTGTTACCTAGTTTGGGTAGGGAACGTTTGCAAGAAAATAACCAAGCTCAATGAGATGGCAGTGCCTCGGTGGCCAAGAAGCTGAGCTTGTCGATCAAAAAGATCGGCAGTTCGGCGGTTCGAATCCCTACCCCAACCGCGTAATGGAGTGAGCTCCCATTACTTGCCCCAGCTTCTGCCAACCCAGCAGTTTGAAAGCATGTAAAAATGAAAGTAGAATAACAGAGACCCCTTTGGTGGGAAGATAACAGCATTCCATGCGCCTTCAGCATTTAGTCATGCCGACCACATGACCACGGAGACGTCTTCGGACAGCGCTGGCTCTTCGGTTTGGTGATGAATATGAGAGACGGAAACGACTAGCATGGATGTTTGAGGGGAACCTTTACCTTTGTCTTTAACCAAACTCAGAGAGCATCAAGAACTCAGAGAAACGGTTTGCTACTTCATGGGTAGCAATGTTCCTGATGTCCCAATCCAGCCTGAGCCTTCCTAGTGGTCTCCCTTCCAACACCTCTTAAGAATTGACCCTGATTAATTTTTTGAGATCCATAAAATTTGGATAGATGCTGACTCAATAAGAATTTTAAGCAAGCATCAACAAACTAATCTCATTTTCTCTGAAAGCTCATCACAACATACGTCTGACTCACAATAAGCCACCATACCTTGTGATCATGATAGTAGGGGTCAAGATCTTCCAAGGGCTCTGCAATGAGTTCCACAGGAGGGTTTCCATAAAGAGCAGGGACTTTCTGGCAAGCCTGAAGATCAAGCTGAGGCCGCAGCTTCTCTGTGGGTGGCAAGTCTCTTTTGGCCATGATACGTTTCTTGATGGCAGCCAAAGATTCGGGAGTGAATCGGCGGAAGTTTTCTGCACCCAGCAGTCCCCCAGTAGCCATTTTTGCATCGTTTTCGTTACCGGATAGAATGAAGAGACGGGCAGATTAGCCACTCAGATGCCACACTCTTTTTGACTGACGTAATGAGGAAGCAGAGTAAAAGAAAGTACATAAGGAAACCAATCCACGCCATAAATATACACTGAAATAGGACTACAATACAGATAATAGCAATAGCACTTAGACTTATATGCCATTTCATAGTGCTTTACAGCCATCTCTAAGCAGTTTACAGAGTTCGCCTCTTGCCTCCCAATAATCTGGGTCCTCATTTGACCCACCTCGGAAAGATGGAAGGCTGAGTCAATCTGGAGCCTAGTGAGATTCAATCTGACAAATTGCAGGCAGCCGGCAGGCAGCAGAAGTAGCCTGCAGTACTGCATTCTAACCACTGCACCACTAGAGCTGTGATGGCTGCTTGACCTAAAACCACAATTGAGCCCAAACCTTCCATTGCTAAGCAAGACATCTGTTAAGTGAGTCATGCCCCCATTTTATGGCCTTTTTGCCATGGTTGTTGTAAATCTCTACAGTTATTAAGTGAATCATGTGGTGCTTAAACAAATCTGGCTTGCCTCATTAACTGAATTGGTTGTCTGAAGCTCCCTAGGAAGATTTCTCAAGTGGCAATTCCAGGGACACAGAGATGCTGCAACCATCATAAATACAAGCCAGTTGCCAAGCACCTGAAGACTGATCACAGGACTGTGGAGATGCAGTACTTTAATGGTCATAAGTGTGAGAACTGGTATAAGTCACTTTTTAAGTTGCAGTAGTAACTTTGAACAGTCATTAAATGAATGGTTTCTGGGATTTTCAAATAACATTTTCTCTTAATTTTCTCCCAATTCAACCATAAAGACTCCCGTATGTAATGCCTTCTAAAGTAGCCCTGCGATTTAGTTCCCTTATACTGCTGGGGTGGGAAATCCTGAAGCAAAGATGCCATTTTTCGAAAGGCAGATAGTCCACGACTTACTACCACAATTGAACCTAAAATTTATGTTGCATTTTATGATCTTTCTTGCCACAGTGAGTTGCTACAGTTGCTAAGTTAGTTACCTGGTTGTTAAATGAATCTGGTTTCCCCATTAATTTTGCTTGTCAGACGGTCACAAAGGGGATCATATGACCCTGGGACACTGCAACCGTCATAAATGTGAGCCAATTACCACAATTCTGACCACACGTCTATGGAGAAAGTGATGCTGTGATAATCATAAGTATGAAAAACAGTCAGGTCAATTTTTCAGTCCCTTTGTGACTTCAAATGGTCACTAAACAAAGGTTATAAGTCGAGGGCTACCTATACACCAAACAGTGACAGGAAAATGTTTGGGAAATATGATCCCAGGGGCTTCACACATACTCATTTAATTCTTCCCTTTCAACGTGTTATGTAGGAGTCAGAAACAATAAACCAATGATAATAAATTATGACTTAAACATAAACAAATGTAACCAAATGTAACTTGCACCAACTTTCTTCACGGTACCTCTCCATACCTTTCCATCCTGGCTTCCACCAAGCTTCATACATTGATTTTTGTGGAATTCTTGGTGGTCTCTAAGCTTGATTGTTTTATTGCAGACGTTCAATAGCCCAACTAGGTAACATCATCAGTACGAGTGAGTGTGGGCTTTGTTCTCTATTCTTGCCCTGATGATGTTACCTAATTCAGTAAAGTCTACAAGCAAAGAACCAAGATCAGAAAGCACCAGAGACTTCACAGTTCAACCTCTGAGCTACCCATATTCTCTTCTATTGATTTTTATTCTCTACGTTTCACTCTTCAAGATCTCCTCAGGTTCAGGTTCACCCAATCATGTTTTTCTGTCTTTCCATATCAGTTTGATTCATTCACTCTTCCTTCACATATTTGTTTTGTGATTCAAACCTCATTCATTCCCTCAGTGTAGCCAAACCATATAGTATTTACAACCTAATTCTGAAGGCAGGACAAGAAAGCAACGGGTGGAAACTAATCAAGGAGAGAAGCAACTTAGAGCTAAGGAGAAAGTTCATGACAGTGAACTTTTAATGACAGTGAGAACAATTAATCAGTGGAACAACTTGCCTCCAGAAGTTGTGAATTCTCCAACACTACAAGTTTTTAAGAAGAGATTGGATAATTATTTGTCTGAAATGATATAGGATTTCCTACTAGAGTAGGGGGGTGGACTAGAAGACCTCCAAGTCACTAGTCACTAGTTTTTACTATTATTATTTTATTATTATTAAATTTATTTGTCATTCATCACATAGTTCAAGGTTCTGAGCTGCTTAATTCAATCTACAATCCTCCAGCCTATTCATTCTTAGCTTCTTCTCTTTTTAATTTAACACACGCTCATCTTATGAAACCTATTTTCATCACCAGCCACTTCCTCAGAAGTTTCTCCTGACATATCCAACTCTCATTTGAACTTCCAGTCTACATACTCTTGCTTGGTATAACGTCTGTTACCGCACAACATCAGCTGGTTAGCCACCCAGTTCATCCTGCCCAATTAAAGACACTCTGGGTAGGTTACAATGAATTAAAATTAAAAGACACAGCAATAAAAGTGTCAGGGACAACTCGTTGCGACCAACTTGCCATGGCCAACTTGCCACTGAACAAGAGTCACGCTAATTTTAAAGAAATGGTGAAATAGAATCATCAAAGCAAGGAGGCCAAAGGAGAGACAAATGCAATGTGAATGACAAAAACTAAAATATTTTTTAAATTATTTTAAATAATTATATTGAATTGTAGAACAGTCCCATTCTGGCAATAAAATAAACCAGAATTATAAAACACAATTGTAATAATTTGTCATCATTTGTAAAAACCATGGGGTGTGGGCAGGGCGCCTTTACAGTTCTCTTAGAGTTAAACTGTTCCAAAATTAAGAAACCAATCTTGGATTTAAAAAAAAAATCATTCATTTGCACAGAATAATAGCCTTTTAAAATCATCATCTTAGGTGCCATCACACGGGCGTCAAACAAGGCAGCACTCCTTAAGCAAATTACATCCATACTTTAATATTTCTCCTGATATTCCTTCTACACCTGCAGCCTATCAAGGCAGAAACATTTTCAACATAGTACTGAAAACATTCTGGATCAGTCCATTGCATGCGCTTCCTTTTTGGTGGGATTTAGGCAGTCACACAGTCACACAATTTTAGCTTGCATAGAATAACTTATGATACTTAGGGAACATTCAGCAGCATGTGTGACATGTATGCAAAATGCAACAGTGTTTTTCTTATTCTCAGCAGGAAATGCAGCAGGTGACATGACTAACAACTTAGCCTCTACATAGCTTTATACTAAAAAAAAATATGGGATTTTTCTAGATTGCAGAATTTGTTTCCTTTGCGCTTTATTTCTACTCATTCTTTTTTTCAAGTAAAGAATACAACTGACTTGAATGTATTCTCTTCCAAACGCAATCCATAAGCCTCGTTCAAGATTTACTGCTGTTTTTATTACTCAAGATAAATGGGATGATGGGACAATTTGAAAAGCTAGGTTTGAATTATGTATGGCTTGATATCACACTTAGATCAAACAACAAGGGAATACTGTAATTGCTCCAGTCTTCTCTTTGCCAAACTGCAAACCATCAGTTAGTAGCTGCGATGATCTGACCAAATTATGCCTAATAATCCAGCCATCTGGAAAAGGGTTTGTTTTGCTCTGGATGTCCATGTTGGTATCCATTAGGAGAAATATCTGAAGGGTTTTAGCATGACATGTTGGTCCTCAACTTATGACAACTGGGATCAGAATTTACAGTTGCCAAGCATCCAAATTTTGATCACATGCTCATGGGTATGTTGCTAGTGCAGGGACCAGTTGTAACTCACTTTTTTTTTTAGTGCCATTGTAACATCGAATGGTCATAAGTCAAGGACTTCCCAGCGGTGGGATTCAATTTTTTTTACTACCAGTTCTGTGGGCATGGCTTGGTGGGCGTGGCTGGGGAAGGATATACTGCAAAATCCCCATTCCCTCCCCACCCCACTAACCTGCTTTCCAGCTCTGTTCTCCTGTGCAGGGCAACCAAAGAAGACCCAGCCAATCAGCTGGGACTCAATGGGAGGCAGAGAAGAGATGGGGCGGGGCCAGTCAGAGGTGGGATTTGCTGGTTCTCCAAACTACTCAAAATTTCCGCTACCGGTTCTGCAGAACTGGTCAGAACCTGCTGAATAACCACCTCTGGGACTACCTGAAAAATCGTAAAGTGATCTATTTGATGCACTGAGATCACTGATAGGGATTCTCCTACTATAAAAAAAACATGGGAAAATATGGAATTTCCATATGGAATATGGAAATCTGGAATTTCAATCAACTGGAATTGATTGAAACGCTGTTTTCCACAAAAGTAAATAGATGCACAAGGAGACACAAGATGCAGAAGGATGCTGTTCAGAGCTTCTCCCATTTCCATCCCTGTTCTTAATACAGGCAGTCTCCAATTTACAATCACAACTGAGCCCAAAATTTATGTTGTTAACTGAAATATTCACTAAGTGAGTTTTGCCAAGCTTTACGTTTTTTCTTGCCACGGCTGTTATCTGAATCACTGTAGTCAATAACACCCTTACAATATCAAAAAGCTAAAGTGGCAGATGCAGCGTTGAAGAGATTGTCTTGCTAAAAACAACCACAAAAATATCCTCAAAAGTAGTTTAATGTGTTTTGTTTTTGTTTTTTTGGAAAAGTTAAAAGAAACTTCAAATTAAGGACTGATACAATGCATTGGTAAGACCACCTTTGAAATATTGCATCCAGTTTTGGTCACCACAATATAAAAAAAAATATTGATACTCTAGAACAAGGGTGTCAAACTCGCAGCGTCACATTGTCATTATGTGACATATTGTGACTTTTTCCCCCCTTCACTAAACCCGGGGTGGGCATGGCGAGGGTGTGTGACGTATCTGGCCCGCAGGCCGTGAGTTTGACACCCCTGCTCTAGAAAGAGTGCAGAGAAGAGCAA